TATGCTTCGCGAAAGATTATTTAAACCTATAAAATTGCACTCAAAAGTTTCAAAAATAAATAATAAATTGGTCGTTTTGGCCATTTTGATAATTTTAGTGCTACGGTGCACAATAAATTGCAATAAAAGCTTTTATTTATATACTTTGTGAAAGATTATTTAAACCTCCAAAAATGCACTGTTTCGTATCTATAAAGTTTCTAAAATAAATCATCATTTAATTTAATTTCCATCAAATTGACACTAGTTTTGAAAACCATTCAGTTTCTAATAGATTAGTATCTTGAAAGTAGAAAGTATCTCGTTGATGTCGAACTAAATAACTCAGAACGAAATTTGCCCCCGTTCCTCCGAGGACCCTTTCAGTTTTCAAAATTGGAAAGAAACGAAAAGAGCACGTGAAATTTATTACTCGCTGAAACAATGTGCGTTATTTGCTAATTGTCGGTAAAATAACGTGTTGCGCGTCTCTGTTAAATAGTTACAGATCGATTAAAAATCGTATGAGTAAAGATTATCCTTTTCGAAACGAAGTACTTTAATTCGCACAGCTCTCTCAGCTGCGCTCCCGTCGAGGATCTCTCGTTTAATTGAAAGAAGCAAAGATTAAATATTCACCGACTTGGTAGATGTTAATCGTAGATTAAGTGTAATGGAGGATCGTGCTACGGAACGAAGGCAGGAAAGAAATTGGAGATGAAAAGCGCAAGTTCAGTAGAACTGAAGTTCTGACACACGGAGCAAGTTGTTGGCAAACAGATTAAGAACTTTCAATCGCGGCAATCGGTAGTGGTATCTCTTTATTAGCAGCTGCGAGACAAGTTCGCGCGAAGACTAGAAATGACCGCGACGAGGTTAGTAGAAGAAGATTACTACAAAAAAAGAAAAATACTGATCAGGATACTAAAATACTAACACTGAGCAATAATAGAAAATTGCAATAATAGAAAAAGCGTGTTTCTGACGTCATAATTAAGGAAAGCGCTGTATTGTTTCACTGTAACGCTCGCGATCTGTGATTCGTTGTGAAAATTTAAGTGTAATTGACGCGTAATAGTGTAATATTAAAGTATTAAATAATATTAAATAATATAAAATATTACTAAGTAATATAAAAGTAATATAAATAATATAAAATATACAAAGTAATATAAATAATATAAAATATTACTAAGTAATATTAAAGTATTAAATACGCGTGTTATAGTAGCGTAATGTTAAAATATTACAATATTTCGACGAAATACAAAAAAAAGAGCTTTTCATAGCTCAACTAAACTGACTTTATTGATTTTCTTAGGCTTCTTATACACATAGAGTGTTATCTCGGAAGTTCACGATGTTATCCTGGGAAAAGTCGGGTAACTTTGATCGTGACACTGGAAACGGACAGTAATTATTGAGGATATCGTTTGCAAAATTCAGAATCCCGTTACTTGCCAACTGATTCCCCGGCGAAGTTTCACCGGTGAGTTTCCAAGCCAAGCTTCGTACTCGCAATGACAGCAATCGCGACTAAACAAATTAATCAGGAGAGCCTGGAACTTCCAACTTCTCGGGAACTTCTTTCATTCCGGAGGGAATTCAGAGGCTTTGCGAAAGCTTTGTCGAAACTCGGGGCGTTACGTACGCGTGAATTGTTTCCCAAAGCGTGCGACATGGATTGTCAATACTGGAATAATAATAAATAATAATAAATATGCGAAATTCACTCGCTCACTTGACGCGCTTTGAGAACAAAAATTCACGACGTAACGTCAGTGGGAAAAAAAAAGCAACCAACTGTTTAGTATTTAATAATTCGTCCGCGCACAGAGAGAAAGAGCGGGATGACTGACATTTAATGCACCGTAAAACAAATCGGCGAAAATCTCGTCTCTAATGCGGCGAGATGAAAGTAACTGGAAACAATTCGCAGTCGCTTTGAGCCAGCGGGCGCCAGTCCACGCTCGTTAGACAAAAGGAACGCATCTGGAATTGAATATTCACGAGCGAGCGGGTCGCGGGTAACGAGCGACGGGGCGCTTTTCTTTTCGCGACCGCGGTCAAAAAATTGAAAAAAAAGAAAAGAAAAAGGAAAACTGTCGGCAGCATTCCGGATCGATAGGCGCCCTCGTGCCAAGGAGAGCAGAAAGCAGAAAGCAGAAAACAGAAACCCGTCGAATCGAAGGGAATCGCCCGTGCTTCATACTCGATTTGGAAGGGCACGTAGGACGACGAGAGATCACGGGGATCGCGATGCCGCGCGACGCCCACGAAACGAAGCGTAAAATTGTAGTTTAGGTCTCTTCTGAAATCAGAGGCAAGAAGAGGGGAAAAGTCATCTGGAATTCCGTCACGCGGCCGTGTCCCCGTTTTCCTCGGCAACTTCGAAAAGATACACACAACCGGAGAATTAGATTCGTCCGCGGCGAGAACAGAGAACGTAGGTGGGGGGGGGGGGGGGGCACAGGGAGGAGGGAGTTTCGGAAAAACGGACGACCTAATCACGTTAAAGTCTCGAGCGTGCACTCCCGGCCGAATTAAACGTGTCCCCCGAGTTACGGTGGAATTTAATTCGCGGCGGCCGCATTTCGCCATTTGGCGAAAATCGCGAACGTGATTTGTAAACTCGATGGAAGATGGATTAAAAGCGAAGAGGGGGAGGGGGAGGGAGTCACGAACAGCTTTTTAACCCCCTGACGTCGCGCGTTTCCCAACGACTATTGAATTATTAGTTTTTTCCTTCGTAAAGTTTTTTTTTTTTCTTTTTTATTAATTTCGTTTACGTTCGTCAGTACTGCGTCTGTGACATTTTTTCGGTATAAATGTAAAAGTATTAAAACAATCTCTGTTAGGTTTGCACAAATGTTGAAACGAACATCATTTTCGGGTCGTATCGAATTTCATTTGATTTGTTGAAATACACGTTCGTTACAACGTACCAAATCTGAAAATTGCATTGATTTGTATTGCGATTAAATAAAGATCAATTGAAAACGAAGGCTAATGGGTATTGTGTTTACGATATTTTGCAGTATAAATATAAAAATACAAAAGTTATCTTTAGTTAAGTTAAAATGTAAAGGTTATCCTTGATAAAGTTTACACAAATGTTACAAAATGAATATCATTTTTTGGTTATGTCAAATTTCGTTTAACCTATATCAAGAGAATCAAAAAATAACAATGTTAATAACACAAAAAGTAATCTGTGTACTGATTTGTTGCGATTAAATAAAGACCAATTGAGAACGAAGACTAATAGATATTGTGTTTACGATATTTTGCAGTATAAATATAAAAGTACAAAAATTATCTTTAGTTAAGTTAAAATGTAAAAGTTATCCTTGATAAAGTTTACACAAATGTTACAAAATGAATATCATTTTTTGGTTATGTCAAATTTCGTTTAACCTGTATATCAAGAGATTCAAAAAATACCAACGTTAATAACGCCAAACGTAATCTGTATACTGATTTGTTGCGATTAAATAAAGACCAACTGAGAACGAAGACTAAACGAGCATTGTGTTTATGACATTTTACAGTATAAAGTATAAAAGTACAAAAATTATCTTTGTCGAGTTTACACAAATGTTACAAAATGTATATCATTTTTCCTCGAGTTTCGTTTAACTCGTGCATCAAGAGATAAAAAAAGTAACGACGTTAATAACACCAAACCTAATCTGTGTATTAATTTGTGGCAATTAAATAAAGATCAAAAAATTGAGAATGAAGAGCAATGGATACTGTAACACTAACGAATGTTTGCGTAACTGTGATGGAGAACTTGTCCGTAATCTGTTGATGAAACGCAAGTGGCAGAAACTGGAGAACTTCCCCCTCGAAACGGTTATCGTTTCATCTCCGTAGGATTTCCAATTGCTGAGATATTATCGCGTAGAGAGGAGCAAGTATAATATCGAACGAGTTAGCTATCTCTGCTTTGTCTCTCTGCGTACTAACCTGCCCCAAGCTTGCACCATGTGGCTCAACCAGCGAGAAAGACCGACGACTGTAAGCGTTACTTTGCTATTTGTTCTATCTGTTATTTACGTGAATCGTGCGCGCGTTTCCAGGGTGGGTGAATGTGGATCACGGTGTCTAGAAAATATGAGACAGTTACTTACTTACTTGCGCAACTAACTGCATTCGAGAGCCGCTTATTTGTAACTGACATCTCGAATCCTACGTTGTACGTGCGAGGAGGTGTCTCGAATTTGTTCAACCCGACTTGTTCTAAACGGCTGAAATTTCAAGGAAGAGGTTCACTGAAATCCCGAGCGATTCCATGCTTCTCGAGTTCTTAAAAAAGTCCGTAGGATTCATTGTTCAGATCGTAGTGCTTGAAAAAGCGCGTCCGTTTGATGAGAAAACTGGAAACATTCCAGAGCGAAATTAAAAGCTAACATCGCGACCGCGATTCGTCGCTTAAATACACGTATTCCACGAATTTCTAAGTTATTCCACTTCCGTTATTCTACGTTTAAGAATAAACCTCCATGTTGTGTTTAGACGTTTCAAGTAGAATAAGGCTCCGTTTCGTCGGACATTTCGAATAGAACTGGCTATGCATTTTAAGTAGAACAAAGCCCTATATGGCCCGACATTTTAAGTGAAACGAGTCTCTATATGGTCAAGATACATTTTGATGACTCTAATGATCAGCCATACTTTAAGTAGAATGGATGGTCAGACATTTCAGCTAGAGTAAACCCCTATGTGGGCAGACAAATCAAATAGAAAGAGCCTTCACGTGTGATCAGACATTTTAAATAGAATGAGCCCCTATACGGTCAGACATACGAGTAACGACTCGTTCCCCTTTTCTGGCCAAAATGTGGCATTGAAAGGCAATGATAAATTAATCGAAAGGGAAAAAATGAACGAACGAAATATTTGTTCGTTGATATAAATTGAAAATTAATGGAAAACCTAACCCAAAAGAAACACGATGAAATTTCGATACTGTGTTCGTACGATGGAATTAATGCCGGGGCGTGTTGATTTATGTTGCAGGATCGATAAGCAATATAGACGGCGCCGAGTACAACTGCAATAAAACTGCAGTGCGAAAGGTCATCAGCGGAGTCGTCGGAGCAGCAAGCTCGGTCACATCCATCCAAGTAGCGAACCTTCTCCGACTTTTTCGAATACCGCAGGTACGTGCCGCGAATTACAAGACCCGGCCGTACGGTTTCAAATACACGGCCCCTTTGTATTGGCCCCGTTCGATCCAGGGATGTCGAATAATCTCGGAAGATAAGGACTCTTCGGAAATAAGAATTTAAAGGGGGTTACAAGGAGGCGAACATCGTTGACTTCGGGAGTGAAGGAGAACGAGTAACGTAATTTAAAAGAGGGACGCGATTTGAAAAGAAAGCGCGTTCGGTCGAGTCGGGTTTATCGAAGCGCGAGGCGCGTGGCGTGGTAATAAAAAATTTCACCACAGGGCAAAGGGATAAGCCCTTGGGTGAAGGGAATATGAAAGTCGAAAGTCTTTCCGCGGTTGCAATTTTTGTGAAATGAGAGAACACCGATGGAAGACTTCAAAGACTTTGTTCTTTGGTGCTGTTACTTCCAGAAACTTTCCGGGAAACCACGAAAGTCGAAAGTTGCCACGCGGTGAGATCGAATTCCACCGTTGTGGGTTGTTGTACGATTCGAGATAGGTCGTATCGGTTGGAATTTTTAATTTGCGGAGAACGTTCGATGAATTGAATCCGGACGATTCTCGCGATCTTTAAACGCGATTCACCGGCGAAACTTTCGAATGGTCTTTAAACGATTCTGAAACGCTCGGGGTTTGATCGTCAGATACAATGCAACTTGAAATTTTAACGCCAAGACACATTCGTCGAGTAATTTTCAATGCAATAATACTGATAGATCTAGAGATTCATTTGCAAAGAAAATAAGAATATAATGATCTTCGATAATAATTCTAAATCCAACGAGTCTAATAATTTTCAATCCTGATAGAACAATACTGATAGATCGAGTGATTCCAAATATACTATTCATATTCAAATTATTATAAATTCATTTATAGAGAAAATAAAAATAGAATAATTCTCAATCCAATAATGCTGAGAGAGATCGACCAATTCAAAATATATACATTACAGATTTAAATTATTGTAAATTCATTTATAAGGGAAATAAGAATACAATAATTTTCAATAATGATTCTAAATCCAATAATTTGCAATCCAATAATACTGATAGATCGACTGATTCGAGATACACTGAAGATTCAAATGTATTATAAATACATTTACAGAAAGACTGAAGATAGTCTATAAATGTTTCTGCTTTGTTGCCACTGAAGCAGAAGCTCGATGAAATTCTCATATTCCTCGAAATCTGGGCGAAGAGCTCGTTTATTCGTTTACATTCCGGTAAAATGCACGGGTGTCGTATAACTGAATAAAACAAAGTCGCGAATCGGTAAAAGTCCTTATCGCTCTCTCCTCTTGCGCAACGCTTTTCACAGCTCCTACGTTTCTCCATTGGATAACAATGTACGTACGTACAATTAGGGAATAAGTTACGACTACAGTGAGAACTTCGATAGAAAACGCCATTTCTCAGAAAAGAAATAGATCCTTTCCGCACAAATCGAAAGTACAACACTAAAACACTATCAGGCTCTAAATTAAACATGGTAAGAAATTAATCGCAAAGAGGCGCAAATACAGTGTGTAGTGTATTATGAAAACGTAACAAAAGAAAGGAGACACGTTACGAGTCGCAAGAAATGTGACGTAAGATCACGTATTGATCCACGTTTCAAATTATGTTACCACGCTTTACCACATTGTTAGATTATATTATGAAACTGTTATATCATAACTAATATATTCTATTATATATACATATATTCTATTATATACTAATATATTATTAAGCTAAATATAAATTAATTATAAAGCTAAATATACTAATATACTATATATTATGAAACTGTTATATTATAACTAATATATTATATTATATATAAATCTAAATATACTAATATATTATTAAGCTAAATATAAATTAATTATAAAGCTAAATATACTAATATACTATATATGAAAATGTTATATTATAACTATTACATATAAAGCTAAATATAAATTAATTATAAAGTTAAATGTACTAATATACTATATACTATATAATATATTATGAAACTGTTATATTACATCTAATATATTCTATTATATTATGTATAAATCTAAATATACTAATATACTAATATTAAATATACTAATATATATGAAACTGTTATATTATAACTAATATATTATATTATATGTGAAGCTAAATATACTAATATATTATTAAGCTAATTATGAATTAATTATAAAGATACTAATATACTAATATGCTAAATATACTAATATACTAATATACCAATATGCTAAATATACTAATATACTAATATATTATAAAGCTGAATGTTACTGCGCAATTTTTAGTACGTGCATTAACAGAGTACAAACAAACAAATAACGTTAGTTCAGTGTTGTCGATTATTTCAATGTACATTCTGAGAAATGCACGCTGATGAAAGAGTTCGTCGTTCTCAATGCAAGTCGCGACTGAAATCCTACGATTGATATGTTACGTGCGATACGTATCAAAAATCTGTCGCAGCGAAAGGGCAGAATTGATTCAGTGCTATTAATCAACGGTGTTTTAGGTGTGAAGTTTCCTTCGATCCGTGAGAAATTTTTTTACAAAAAAAAAAAGAACGTTTCTCCCCAGAGAAACGGCGTTCACGTTCTTATTAAACGCACTCTGCGTCTACTCTCTCGAGCTAAGAGGATTGCACGTATCAGAATGGACGCGCGTAACCCGAACTTCCAGTTAGAAAGTAGCAGCTCGGCACAGTTGGTAGAAGTTAACGGCAACGAACGTGTTTCTTCGCCGATAGCATCGGGGAACGAAACGAAAGGAAGCGAAGCGAAGCGAGGCGAGGCGAAGCGAAGCAAAGGTTTTTCTTTTATCCACCTTCTCTCTCTTTCTCTCTCTCTCTTTCTCTCTCTTTCTCTGGGTGGCTCTCGGCGAGGGAGCGAACTGGAGCGAACATTTATTCACGACGGCGGGCTGGCTGAATCAAAGAACCGCCGGTGGCACACCGTGAAATGAAAATTCACCGGCGTAAGAAGCCAGAAGTTCTCCCCTACACGGAACACGGTTCTTGGCGTTGGTCTACTTTTGTTCTTCCGTTTCTTGCCTTTCGACACCGTCCCCTCGAAAGCTGGATCGTCATCGTGTATATCGTGTAATCTGGCGGAGAATTTGCGAGCCGAGACTACATAAAAAGGAGAAACTAAATGGAGACTAAAATTTCGAACCTTGGATCGAGGGAAAGAGAGAAGCTCGTGGAAGTTGCGAATTTTGCATTTTTGACGGCGGCGTGAGTGCAGTCCTGTGTCTTGAATTAAGCAGAGGGAATGTCTCTCGATTCCGAGAGATCGGACGTCGAAGGAAACGATAAGGGAATGTCTCTCTCTCTCTCTCCTCCCCCCTCCGTCCCCCGACTGTTTCATCATCAAATGAAAAATTTCTATCGTTTCGCAGGTGAGGAGAACGAAATCAGCGTAAAATGGAAGTAGTCTCCATTTCGTGCTGTTGTTTTCTTTTTCAACCATTTGCGCTGGCAACCGATTGCGGACCATAACGAGCGACCGAACCGTGTACAGTAATTCGTCGTTTTCTTTTCCTTTTGAACTCGTCGGTATGACGATCACTGGATAGGAATTATTTAGAAGTAATAAATTTATTATTTCTTTTGCCTGGGTTATACTTAAATGCACTGAAAACTGAGAGAAAATATTGCAATTTTGGGACAAAAAATTCTCGATGTACGTGGCACGTCATTCCAGAGCAAGAGGTTAATCTTAACCTCTTGCGCTGGCAATTGATTGCGGACCATAACGAGCGACCGAAACGTATACAGTAATTCGTCGCTTTCTTTTCCTTTTGAACTCGTCGGTATGACGATCACTGGATAGGAATTATTTAGAAGTAATAAATTTATTATTTCTTTTGCCTGGGTTATACTTAAATGCACTGAAAACTGAGAGAAAATATTGCAATATTGGGACAAAAAGTCCTCGACGTGAGTGGCTTCTCACGTCATTCCAGCGCAAGTGGTTAATTCCTGATTTCCTATTCAATTTCCCTGTCGGAGCACAATCCGTTGAATCGCGGAACGGAACGGAACGGAACGGAACGGAGGAATTCTCGATTAGTTTGAGCAAGAACTTAAACAAGGGAAGAGCAAAACGCCCCGTGGCGAGCCCCGCCTCAAGGAGAACGTCAAGAAGATCGGGACGGAATTAATCTCGTAGGTGGCGGAGCTAACATCTCGCCGAGGCGACAAACGCTTCGCCCCGCCATGCCGGTTCATTGTGTGTCGCAGGAATTACTCCACGGAAGGTTACTCACGGAATCAATTTGAAGATTCACCGAACCACCCGATTCGAGTGGATTTTGCAATGCTCTCGGAACGGACGCGTAACTATCCTTTGCATTACCATCGGGAAGGGGGGGGGGGGGGGGTTAAAATCAATAACGCCGATCGTACGGCGTACACTCGTCCCCGTCGTTACGTAAAAATCGACGACGCGGTGAATCTATTGACGAAAATGAGGAAAACTTGCGACGGGGGAATTTGAAATTCAGGAGTACGATTACGCACGCTCGATCAAAGCGGCGATTTGATGGAATCTATTTGAGAGTAGAGAAAATTGAAACTGGGAACGCGTAAGTTATAAGGGATACCATTCACGTTAAGCAAGAAATATTTTCTGCGTCGTTGCAATTTGAAAAGATAGTCAAGTCTCGTTAAACGAACCACCCTGTATACGGGCTCTAAATTCTTCTTACTACAACCCCTTTTTACTCTTGACATAGAATTTATTGTTTTTTCGTGTAACGTAGCCGAATATTTAAATGTTTCGATGTTCGGTCTGTTTTTATTAACCCCTTGGGCACATTTGACACTCGCCATGCACTTGTTTTCCCTGTTATATGTAAATTAAATTTATTTAAAAAGAAAAAACTAGATATTAATAAATACGACAAACATTTAATTTCTAAATATATATTTACTTTTTTTTACTTCACAAAAACAATAATACACATATACATTTAGATCATTTAC